TATGCCTTGGAACATTTCCTAATGGAGGTGCATTTATCGCTACGACATATAAACGACTTTCGACAGCAAATTTATCACTATGCAAAAATTGTTTGCTCAAAAATTATCTGAGTAATTTAAATAATTATATATTTAATATCAGTTTTTAATTTTTTTTTTATATATAATTACAGCACGTTTGGCAGTTTCTCCGTCGTAATGAACGAAATGTTAGAAGACGAGAAATATCCTTGACCAAACGAATTAGAGTTGATGAGCTGCATCAAAGGTTCAAAGTAAATGGTTCCGGTCGGAATGTATGTTTTATTACAGATTCTCTTATTTTTACCGATTAACCTTTATTGAAATTTTTTTTTTTTTTTTTGTGCTGCAATTCTACTATTAGATACAGAACATGCCAAAATGCTCCTGCGAAGACTTCGAAACGTTAAGATCATGCGAGCATATGGTACGTATATTTTAGGAAACGCATGAATGAGTTGTATCTTTTGAAATTAACTAATACTTTAACATATGTAAATTCAAGATATTTGTATATAAAGAAGTATTGCAAAACGACTTATTTATATCTTTCGGATGAAGAGCTATGTTTACTTATTGAAAATTAACGTAAACAAACGTGTGATTTATGTACTTTATTTAATTAATAGACTTTGCAATAAAAAAGTGTTACATGCATTTTTAATATTTTCAACGTGAAACTGATAAAGATGTGATAGATGTTTAACGTTTTTATATTCTATAAGACAATTCACTAATAACAAACTAAAAGTATTAACATTAATATCACGAAAATACAACGTAAAATTTAGATGATACCTTTTAGTTAAAATTGTACATTTTTTTATTCTCTAATATTTGTGTCGTGGTTAATGAATCTGGATAAGCAACCCGTAAATATGATCTTTTCAAATTAAAATCCAATATTCACCAAATAATATCGATATAACATTAAGATGTTTAACTTATGTAATTTATCAACTGCCGAGTTATACTAGTTTTACTGTAATTCCCTCGAGTCGATCATTATTTAATTCTTTAATTTCGTGATACCAGCTTTGATTTAATTCAAAAACTTCTTTAATTTCTGTTCAAGTATGACGGAAGTTCGAAGAAATATACCTCCTTTTAATTGTTACTTCTAGTTGATATGTATGAAAAATTGAATCATCATAAGATTTCCCATCGGATTCACAGCATATAAAATTTAATTTCCAAAAAAAAAAACCCATCAAATAGCTTAAAAAAATTTCCTAGAGCTTAGTCGTTTATATCGGGTTAGCTTAATACTCCGTCTCAATAAATTTTTTGTGCCTTTTTAAATGTTGCCGCGGATTATTACTGCGCCGTTAAACATCAGTTACTGCGCCTGCAGATCGCGCTGGGATCGACATCATATAATGAAATGGCAACAGAAAATCTCTCGTCTCGATTTCTCATAACTTTTGAAATAAATAGATCAAAATAATTTTAATCCTTGGGATACATTATTAATTATATTTTATTTCTGTCCGTTAGGTCAATAATGTTTTAAATCCCGTCACTTCAAATCCTTTATTTTTCCAGTATTCTAATCTTTTTTCATATTTAGTTTCAAAATTTAATAAATTTAAATGTTTCAACAAGTCAAAACAGGTTTATTTTTTATTCTTTTCTTCTTGAAAAAATTAAAAACGTCATGTATTTGAGAATTGTTTCATTATTTTATTTTAGTTGTATCGTATGTTGCTGGAACATCAACGCTTCGCCAATACGAAATTGCTGAGCAAGTTGCCAGTGCAGGTTTATGGAAGATTTTTGCGGGTATGTATAATAATTTATTGATTTCCTTTAAATAATTGTTGAATTGTATTAATTTATTAAAAAATATTAATTATATTAGGTACTAAAAAAACGACGGGACAAAAAGTAGCCATATTTGTGGGTATTGAAGAATAGAACTTGAAACTTTTTCAAAATCAGATATCTAATCAAGTAATTTTTTTGATAATGCTTATTTTAGACATTTGAAAAAAAGATTATAGACAATCCTCTAAGGAAGAGTTATGATAAAAAGGAGACTGAAAAGGTTTACGCGGTTTTGAAAAGAGAGGTATTGGAGGAACACGTGGTTTTATATTATTATCTCATTTTTCGATTTATATTCATGTATATTGTTACTTACTTAGTTTTTGATTTTAGGCTAGTCAATTGGCGCGACTTCGGCATCCGTCATTATTAGAAGTTGTTGAAGCTGTTGAGGAATCAAGAACAGTTATTACATTTGCAACTGAACCTATTTTATGTTCTCTTTCTAATTTACTTGGGAATTATGATAATTTATCTCCTGTTTCAGATGATATTAAAAATTTTGACATGGATGAACTAGAGGTATTTAATGTTAAATTAATAAATAAATATATGTATATAAATAAACATTTATTTTTATTTATATGTATTATATACTTCATTTAAATAGATTCAGAAAGGGCTGCTTCAAGTTGGAAAAGGTTTGCAATTTTGTCATAATGATGCCAAAATTGTTCATTCAAACCTGGTACCAGAAGCAATATTCGTAAACACAAAGGTATGAATTTTATTCCTTTTCATTTTAAAGATAATAATTAATATATATTTTATTTGATAGGGAGACTGGAAAATTGGAGGGTATATTTAAGTTATTAAAGCTAGGTTTAGTTTATTGGAAGATTCGGGATTTAATTGCCTTTGTGAAATATATGTAGGTTTGGATTTAGTACTTTTCTTACTAATCCTGATGCCTCCGTACCTTACGAATACCCAGATTATGATGTGCGAATACCAAGTTATGCGCAAAAAAATCTTGATTATATGGGTATATAGTTTTTCAAAAATTTTCATATCGATCTCTTTTTAATTTTTTTTAAAAAAGCATACTTATCGGTTTCATTATTATTGAATCATAGCACCGGAATATGTGTTGGATGAGAATCTTGATTTTGCGAACGATATGTTTGCTCTTGGTTGTTTAATATATACGGTGCATAATCATGGCAAACCTCCAATACAAAACCATAATAGCATTCACACATATCGAAAAAATATAGAAAATTTGTCATCGATTAGTTACGAACATCTTCCCTATCATCTTCATGGTAATTATTATTTTTTTCTTTTTTTTAAAAAAAAAAAAAAAATTTCAAATTATCTAATATTTTTATTGCTAGAGGTTATGTTTAATCTCATTACGCGGTACCCGTCCCAGAGAATGACAGCAGTTGAATTTCAGACGAGCAAATATTTTGATAATGTTCTAGTTTCAACCGTGAAATTCTTCGAAAGTTTTCCCGAGAAAACCGCAGATGATAAGGCAAATTTTATGAAAGGTTTAATTCGAATTTTGCCACAATTTCCTGAAAGGGTGTTGGTTCGCAAGGTAAATATTCCAAAATATTTTTATTTTTGTCAATCAGTTAGGATAAGATGATAATTTTGGATCGATAATTTATTTAAATGTAATAGATTTTGCCTTCTCTTCTTCAAGAGTTAAAGGATCATTCACTTTTAGCCTATACACTTCCTAATATTTTCTTTATAGCGCAAAAATTACCACCTAATGATTTTTGTGACAGAGTTCTTAAACCTATTAAACCAATATTTTCCATTTCTGAACCAATGCAAAATATGATAACTTGCCTGGACAAGATTGATCTGTTTCAACAGAAGACTTCATCTTCTATATTTAAAGATGGTATATATATATATATATATATATAATTTATATTTATATTATTGAATTTATATATATCAATTGTTACTTCGTAAATTTTATAGATGTCATGCCATTAATTTATAATGCATTGGAAACGAGGGTACCTGCAATTCAAGATAAAGTCCTTAAAGTTATACCCACAATTGCTGATTCGTTAGATATTTCGACTGTTAAAGCTTCATTATTTCCAAGGATTCAGGTGAGGAAATTTTGTAGTTTCGTACTTTTTTATTAAGCATATAAGAAAATTATCAATTAATGCTAGTTTTATCATAGAACCTGTTTGTCCATACTACAATATTGTCCATCAAAGTGACTACATTGATTTGCCTTCAATCATTAATTAAATTATTAGATAATGTAAATCAATTCACCTAATAAATATTTTCTTTAGCCGAACTTAAATAAACTTAAAATTAATATTAATTAATTACAATTAGTTTACAATAACGGAAAAACTTATACCTTTACTAAAAGGCATCAAGACGAAGGAGCCTTCCGTGATGGTAAGTAATCCTTTGTTGTAATTAATGTATAGATTATAAGTTTTAAAGATTTTATATACTTTTAATATTATAGATGGCTACCCTTACGGTGTATGAAGAAACGGGCAAATCTTCAGAAAAGGATGTTATTGCTACGGAAGTAATACCACAATTGTGGAAGTTATCTGTAGTCCCGACATTAAATCTTCAGCAGGTGTGAGACATTCATTATAGTTTATTAAAAAAAATTTTTCTTTTGAGATTTTATTTTTATATTAAATTTTAAAATTTTATACAGTTTCAAAAATTTATGAACGTGATCAAGGCATTGTCCATGAAAGTTGAGCAGGACCATTCGCGTCAACTTCAGGACATTAAGAATATTGAAGATAATACAAGAAAGTTTGAAGAAGGAGGGAAAGATAATGATAGGAACAATATTCCCGTTGATTTTGAAAAACTTGTTGGTTCATCTGGAGGAATGATTAATAATAATACAAGAAATAGCATCGGTAATTGTTCTATCGAAATTCCACCTGATCCTTTTGATGCGCCGGGTAATGGATCGATTTCTGGTATAACTGCTTTAGGACCATCTAACATGGTGAGTTTTATTTATTTAAATAAAAAGAGTTTGAAATTAATTTTCTAAAATGACCTTTTAATTTCTAGAATTCGAAAACAAATAATGAACAAATGACACCAACAATTCAAGCTGATTTTTTCACAAGTAATGGAGTCATACCGTTATCATCAAAATCTCGCAATTCATTAAGTTCAACGAACATTTTTATGGGAAGCCAAAATCAGACACTGGCACAATCCATAAATTCATATTCTACCATATCTGCATCACCTTCACTTAATAAAATCCCATCATTACCACCACCAAATTCTTCTTCGAAAGCAGGGACGCTTTCATCAATCTCTACTTCATCATCATCAATTTCATCAAGTCTATTTAATTCAATAGCAACTTCAACACCAATGTCAACTTTTTCACATCAAAATTTTGGTAATTCTAATACAATGAATACGACACGTCCATCATCATTTTCGATGAATAATACCTCATCTTTAAATAATTTATATACATCCAATACTACAAGTTCAACAGCTAATAATTTCAATTCACAAATTAATTCGGTGTCTTTAAATTCTTCATTATCAAATAATGACCAACTTAACATGATGAAGAACATGAATGCTATGCCATCATATAATCCTGGAAGTATACTTCAACCTATAAGTTCATCAAATAAATCAGAGTTTAATAACAATTCAGGTACCAATCAAAAAATAAGCAAGGGAGACTTAACAATGTTTGATCCTTATTCATGAAATGTGTATTTTACTTATTTATATATAATAATATTTAATAAGTAAGGATCTATTTTATTAGGATTGATTTGTTTTATAAAAGAAAAAAATTATATATAATTAATTATTAATAAATACAAAGTTTCGTTATATGTTACATTATTTTATATTTAAAAAATATATATTTTATAGTTAAAAATAATATAAAGCTTAAAATATTTTCAAAATATTTTTTTTATTAAATCAAACAAAATATATAGATTAATTTTTTAGTATAATTGCAACCTTAAATTTTTTTTTATTATTATTATTTAGAATTAATTAAAAAGTATAGAATTTTTTTTAAATAACTACTTATAAATAATTATAAAATCTTATAAATAATAAATAAAAATATTATTATTATCAAAAATGTAAATTTAATTAAATTAAATTTATAATTTTTATATTATTTATTTATAATAATTATTAATATTTATTTTTAATAATAAAATAATACAGAGGGTAATCACAGATATCTAAATGATTAATTAAACTATTTGAATATACTTATTATATTAACTTTTTTTTAGAATAAGCAAAAAATTTATTTGTTCCAAACATTTTCTATATATTTTATTAAAAAAAAAATAAAAACTAATATTTTGTTGAACCACCTTCGGCTGCTATACATACTTGAATGCGACGGGCATACTTTCAACCAAATTTTAAATATACTCAAGTGGATGAACGCCAAGCATATTTTACCTTACGCTCTAAATATTTCACATTTTTAGGTTGATTAGGCAA